TGAAGTGCCCTCCATGAATTCAAGTCCTCTGGCCTGGATAATTCCAGCTCAGATACTGAACACACCATTGGATGTGCCTGCTGGGTCACTAACATTCATGTAGGAAGGATTGTGGAGAACAAATGAAAGAGGTTAGATTAGAGAAGGACAAATGTTCTGATTTTCAAAAAGGAGAAGAGGTCTTTGGCCAGAAGACCAGGGAGTGTGAATGTGGCTCCTGAAAAATTCTACAACATATTATTAAAGGCATGCTTGGTGAACATTCAGGAAAAGAAGCAGTACGAATTCTATCAAGCATTTAAAGAACAATGGATTTCAATACTATATAGACTACTTGGGAAAATAGATGAAGAAGGAGTCTTACCAAACTCTTTTTATGATACAAATATGGTGCTGATACCCAAACCAGGAAGAGTCAAAACAGAGAAAGAAAATTATAGACCAATTTCTCTAATGAATATAGATGCAAAAATTTTAAACAAAATACTAGCAAATACATTGCAGCAACTTATCACAAGAATAATACACTATGACCAGGTAGGATTTATACCCAGGAATACAGGGTTGGTTCAATATTAGGAAAACTATCGGCATATCTGAGCATATCAACAACAAAACCAAAAAATCACATGATCATTTCAATAGATGCAGAAAAAGCTTTTGACAAAATGCAACACCCATTCCGATTAAAAAACACTAGAAATCATGGGTATAAATGGAGTCTTCCTTAAAATAATAAATAGCATCTATCTAAAACCTTCAGCAAGCATTATATGTAATGGGGACAGGCTAGAAGCATTTCCAATAAGATCGGGGTGAAACAAGGATGTCCATTATCACCACTGTTATTCAATATTGTACTGGAAACGTTAGCTTTAGCAATAAGAGAAGAAAAAGAAATTGAAGGCATTAGAATAGGCAAAGAAGAAACAAAGCTATCACTCTTTGCAGATGACATGATGATATACTTAGAGAATCCTAGAGAATCAAGTAAAAACTACTTGAAATAATAAACAACTTTAGCAAAGTTGCAGGCTATAAAATAAACCCACATAAATCATCAGCATTTCTATATATTACCAACAAAGCCCAACAGCAAGAGATAGAAAGAGAAATCCATTTAAACTTACTGTAGACATTATAAAATATTTAGGAGTCTACCTCCTGAAACAAACCCAGGAACTCTATGAACACAATTACAAAACACTTTTCACACAAATAAAATCAGATCTAAATAATTGGAAAAACATCAGTTGCTCATGGGTAGGCCGAGCTAATATAATAAAAATGACAATCCTACCTAAGCTAATTTACTTATTCAGTGCCATACCAAAAACTACCAAAAAATTATTTTATAGAGTTAGAAAAAATAATAACAAGATTCATTTGGAAAACAAAAGGTCCAGAATATCAAAGGAACTAATGAAAAGAAATGCAGGGGAAGGTGGCCTAGCAATTCCAGATCTTAAATTGTATTATAAAGCAGCAATCATCAAAACTGCTTGGTACTGGCTAAGAAATAGGGAGGTGGATCAGTGGAATAGGTTAAATATGCAAGACACAGTAGTCAATGACTATAGTAATCTATTATTTGATAAACCCAAAGACCCCAGCTTCTGGGATAAGAACCCACTCTTTGAAAAAAACTGCTGGGAAAACTGGAAAAGAGTATGGCAGAAACTAGGCATAGACCCAAATCTCACACCATATACCAAAATAAAGTCAAAATGGGTTCATGACTTAGATATAAAGGCTGATACCATAAGTAAACTGGAGAACAAGGAATAGTTTACCTATCAGATCTATGGAGAACAGAAGAATTCATGACCAAACAGGAGATAGAGAACATTATGAAAAGCAAAATGGATAATTTTGATTACATTAAATTGAAAAGTTTTTGCACAAACAAAGCCAATGCAACTAAGATTAGAAGGAAGGTAGAAAATTGGGAAAGAATTTTTACAACCAGTCTCTCTGATAAAGGCCTCATTTCTAAAATATATAGAGAATTAAGACAAATTTATAAGAAACAAGCCATTCCCCAATTGATAAATGGTCAAAGGATATGAACAGACAGTTCTCAGATGAAGAAATTAAAGCCATCTATAGTCATATGAAAAAATGCTCTAAATCATTATTGATTAGAGAAATGCAAATCAAAACAACTCTGAGGTACCACATCACACCTATCAGATTGGCCAACATGACAAAACAGGAAAATGATAAATGTTGGAGAAGATGTGGGAAAATTGGAACACTAATACATTGTTGGTGGAGTTGTGAAATGATCCAATTTTGGAGAACAATTTGGAACTATGCCCAAAGGGCTATAAAAATGTGCATACCCTTTGATCCAGCAATAGCACTTCTAGGGCTATATCCCAAAGAGATCAAACAAATGGGAAAAGGACCCACATGTACAAAAATATTCATAGTAGCTCTTCTTGTGGTGGCAAAGAATTGGAAATTGAGAGGATGCCCATCAATTGGGGAATGGCTGAGCAAGTTGTGGTATATGAACGTAATGGAATACTATTGTGCTATAAGAAATGATGAACAGGCTGAGTTCAGAAAAACCTGGAAAAACTTGTATGGTCTGATGCTGAGTGAAGTGAGCAGAACCAAGAGAACTTTGTACACAATAACAGCCACATTTGCAATGACTAATATTGTAAACTTAACCTTCCCAGCAATACAAGGATCTAAGACATCCCCAGAGGCCTCATGATGTAAAATGCTATCCACATCCAAAGAAAGAACTATGGAAGTTGAATGGCTATCTTTTTTTTCTCTTCTGTTAAGTTTTGTTTCCTCTTTGTAATGGTTCCTCCTATTGGTTTTAATTTTTACTTACAACTTCACTAATGTGAAAACAGGAATGTAAATGTATAGCCTATGTGAGATCATGTGCCATCTTGGGGAGGGTGTGGGGGAGGAAAGGGGAGAAAAAATTTAAACTCAAAAGCATATGGAAGTGATTGTTGATAAATCAAAATAAATTAATAAAATTAAAAAAAAAAGGAAAAAAGCAGTGATGACAAAGAGTCACCCTGGTTCCAGTAAGAACAAGTCATGTTAGTTTAACCGAAAGAGCAAAGGGCCTCACTTTCCTCTCACATGAAGAGCAGTCAAGGGAAAGGCTGGAGAAGAAAAACTTCAGAGAAGACCTTTGAGTTGTCTTCAATTGCCCAATGGGTTTTCATACAGAAAAGACATTAAGCTTGTTCTGTTTGGTCCCAGAGCACACAAGTAAAAGGAAAAACAGGAAGTTGCAAGGAGGTGAATTTAGGCTAGACATCAAAAAAATGTACAATTACAGCCATCCAAAAGTAGAATAGGATACCTTAGGAGGTGGTAGGCTGCCCCTTGCTGCAGGCCTTCAGGAGGCTGGATAAGCATTTGCCATGAGTGTCGTACTCTGGATACTTGGCCAGGCATCGATTAGACTCAATGGCTATTAAGGTCTGAATTAACATGATTCTGTGATTCTTGTCTGAACCAGCCCCCTAATTAGTTCTCCCTGCTTCTGGTCTTTTCTCTCTCCAATCCATCCTCCATAAGACTACCAAACTGATATGCCTAATGTACACTTTTCCCCGTATTATTTTACATCACTCCCCTTCATAAAAAGCCTATAAACTTCCATGTACATGACATTCCAGTCTCCAGCTTCCATGTCTTTGTTACAGTGGTCACTCTTTTCTAGAATATACTTCCTCTTTACCCCTACCTCATAAGATCCTTAGTTTCCTTCCCAGCAGAACTCAGGTGTAACCTCTTACATGAGACATTTCCTGATCCCTCCAATTATTAGGACTTTCTCCCTCCCGAAATTTTTTTGTATATAATTTGTACATTTGCTATATTTCCTCTTCCTCCTACTCCTTTGAACAGGTAAGCTTCTGGAAGGCAGGGATTATTTTGTTTTTATCTTTGTATCTCTAGCACCCAGTTGAGTGTCTACCACATAGTAGTAACTTAATAAACGTTTGTTGAATTTAAGTGAGCCAGGCTGAGCTCCACCTTAAACATTACTGATGAAAAGAACACAACATCATTAAGCAGGAATGATTCTTCCCTTTTTCTTGACAGAACTCCACCACCATCACCACCACCCCGAAACCAAGGGGATGGTGAGAATCTTTTTTGCCCTCACCAGTCAGGAGGCCTTTTGTTGTCCACATTTCCTTCCCTTCCCATGGGCCTTCTTAACCTACTCTTCCAAGGTACCATTGTGCCTAGTCAGCATTTGTCCTCTAATCAATGGGAAACCCAAGAGCTCATTTTCCCTGGCCTTAAATATAGAGTCAGATGGCACCCAGTGATGTAGACCTTGGAAATCCCTGGCTGACTGTTCATTGCCATCACTGGCCTCTCTCTTTAGCATTGTACTATGACTTATTTGTGGAATCACTGTTTGAAATATTGGGCTTAGCTGGCATTTCCAGACCATAGCAAACACAAACCTTACTGTCTTCTCCAGACATCAGGGTGGGCATGAAAATCAAGATTATTCTCCAGATAAATCAGTGTATTTTAGGGACAAGAAAGATTTCTTAGGCAACTCACTCACTTAAGCACCAGGGAAAGAGGAGAATATGGCTTTCTTTTCCCAGTAAATAACTGCTACCAAAGAAAACATTCTCCCAGTTTCCAACTGAGGAAGCCTGTAAAACCTTTGTGGCAGAAGAAAAATTATGGAGATCTCTCTGCCTTCTCCCATAGTAACAAGTTGAAAAATATGGTATAAATGTAAGGCTTGGTATTCACCATTTCACCCTTCTGAAGGAAGTACGAGTTTGTGATGGACTTGGATAAATCATAATAGAGCAAAAGGGATGCAATTTCAACTTACAAAGACATGAATTAAGTTAACCCTCTGTCCACTTAACCTGGCTGTCCTGATTGTTATTTTAATCATGCATAAATTACATGCAAACTGAGAATTAACAGGGCATTCATTAGATAGAAGTCCATTCACATGAAAAACAAATTCTGGAATGTCATTTGAGATCACATATTTGAAGGTGAGTCCAGAGAAGAGACATATTTTTTCAAAGACTCATAGACTCTTGGAGGTGAAAGGGAGCTAAGAGGTTACTGAGCACAGTCTTAAGGTTAGTTAGGCATAATCTGTTCTTGGCTTCACCTCCTCCTTGCAACTATTTTCAAACTATCCATAATTTATATATGTGTGTGTATACATATATACACATATACATAGATTTTTTTTTACTGTGACTCAACTTCCAAAAATGCTTCTAGTCCTTGGAGTTTAAAAATTGGCAAACACTTGTAACAGTAAATAAAGCTTAATAAACATTTCTAGGATCAGATTTAATGTTTAAGTCGGAGTAACTATAAAAGCATATGTATCAAGAGAGAGTATATTTATGCTACTAAATAAACAAAATGATGAAATCTGATCCTCTAAAATGACAGTAGTGTTAGAAGTATACTGTCTAATCTACAGATAAGAAGAAAATTGAACTTTTTCCCAAAGAACAAAATGATTATTTGATGGTATTAGCAAGTGACTAGGTTAAACTTTGGATAATGAAACCAATTAACCAATTAGATTAATGTGTAGTTTTCCTTGCTTTGGGGTCTAATTAGTTGGAGAAGCTGCATCAGTTGTTTGATCCTTAAAGGCAACATCCCTATATTTTGCTGCTAACTCCACACTTTCTCCCCTTCCCCTTCCAGAATCACTTGCCCCCCAGTTAGCCCCCCCCAAAAGTCTCGATATTCCTTATCCCTGGATATGCCTTATATGCCTGTCGTTCCAGGGCCTGCCATATAAGAACGTGATGACCCACCACGAGGAACCAAAACATCGGAATTTGATCAGCACATATGATGACCATTTTAACCGGCATGGCTACAACCCTGCCTTGCCACCAACCCGTAGTTGGAATGGGCAGAAATTGGTGTGGCTGCCAGAGAAGTCGGACTTTCCCCTTCTTGGTACTTTCTCAATCCATTTTTCCCCCTATACAGATCACCACAGGTTCCAAAATACCCTAAAACCTTGATATAATGCTCCCTACCGTGACATGCAGTTTGGTGTAGGTAGGTCAGCCTTGGACTCCAGTGGAGTTACTGAAATTGACTAAGTCATAATATAGCTTCACTTATAATAAAATAACATTCAAGGATTCTGGGACAGTATTATGAGGCACTGGTATATTGTGCTCTCCTCTCAGGATGCCCTTTGCCCCTTTGCCCCATTTCACAAGCATTATACAATGAACAGTGCTGACTGGCTATCTCTAGAAGCACAGTATTTGTGGTGCCACAGGGACTCATCTATGCTCCTATACCAACGCTGGGCTCTATTTGCCACACTCCACCCACCTCCACCCCATGAATCCATCACACAGCGCCTTCTCCTAGAAGTGTATCTGGGCCTAAGGAAATGACTTGACCCCTATATGAAGCGATCGACCAAGGGCAGCTTTCTCCAGCTTCTCCACAGTGAAAATCAATTCAGTGAACAATCTGAGTATCATTTCCCATTCAGTTAATGTGTGTTAGGATTTAGGACAATTTACACAGAAATGCAAGGACCTTCCTTTATCACACTAGCTCCTCCTCCCTAATAGTTACAACTTAGCCAAGAACAGGATGGATGCATCTCTGGAAAGTGGCTAGGAGTACCCAATGCCTTGCACACAGTAGGCACTGAAATGTTTGCTGAACTGAATTCAAGAGATCAGGCTATTGATGTTTCCTCCCATCAGGAAGTCAGGCTGCCTACTCCTAGGCCCTAGGTCCTTGGGCTCATGTGTCCTCAAGTCTCTGAGGAGACTCTAGGGGAGTCCAGCCTGGCCCCATCTTCCCCTCCTTCCCTTCCAGTACCTCCCAGACCTAATTCCTTCCTTTTAAATAGCAGCAAGTTTGTCTCAGTCCAATCTGAGAAAACTACAAGCAAGCAAGCATACACCTTCCTATCTCTTCCCTTCCTCCAGGGGTTGGGCCCAATTCTCCATTCATGATTTCACATCCTGACCCTGATTTCTGTTGCAGCTCCCCCCACCAACTATGGTCTCTTTGAGGATCTCACAAAGAAATGGCAAGAGCCTACCAAGACTCACTCTATGAACAGTGTTTACACCTTGTCTTATGTAAGACACCCAGTGTCTGCTCTGTCCAGGCACGAACATGCAATCCCAGTTCCTCCTCCCTGCCTCCAGTGAGCCATCTTGCCCATCCTTTTGACAACTGCTATCTTCCCTGGAGAAGAGGAACCTAGACCAAGGAATCGTAACATCTTTGAGTTCGAAAGACAGCAAATGAGGAAAGCAAGAAAAAATGATGGTGGCTTCCTTCCCTTACTGGCACACTTGAGTAGCTATAACATACCAGGAGGATGCGCTGCAGAAAGCTCTATGGGACACCCACAACATCTGGCCTGTTTCTTTGGAAGATAGAAGCCCCTCTCTCCTTCTCCAAAGTACAAGCTACTCTTTCCTTATTTTTCGCAATTAAATATGTATGGAACTATTAGAGTTGATGATGTTAACAGAAGATAACAGTGCTTGCTCTCAATGACCTTCTAATATTACAGGAACAATTAATTAGTCAAGCACATTCTACAGAAAAATGCAGATCAGATCCTCTTTTTTTAAACTTCCCAGAATGGCCATATTGTTAGAGATCACATTCCTGAAACAGAAATAGCACTAGCTGTAGGGCTGGAGGACTGAGTTCAAATCGCACGTCCAGACTTATTGCCTATGTGACCTTGGACAAGTCCCTTTGGTTCCCTGGGTCTCAGTTTCCTCATCAGAAAAAATAAGGGGGTTGGACTGATAGCCTCTGAGGTCCCCTCCTGATCTAAATCTATGATACTAAGTTCTATAAACCCTATGGGGTAAATGGGAAGTCTCTCACACACACACACCCCATTCATTTTTCATCCTCCAAGCTCTACTTTGCTATGTGGTGGGGCTCTGTTTAGCAGGGTGATGGTCTGGAAATTTAGGGTTTTTTTCCTCTAGCAGAATGGCCTGCTCAAAAAAGCCAACCAATTCGCACAACCAGCAAGGACTGAGGTTTGCTGAGTGACAGATTCTCAGATGGGGCACCTGACTCAGGCATGAATGTTCTGCATGCATGTATGCCCTGATATGTTGGTATATGGACATTTGCTTGTGTGTGAAAGCTTACCTGCTCCTCCTTCAATTAGACAATAAGATCCCAGCATCCAGGTTCCCTAGCACTCTCTCCTATGTGTAACCTCCATTCAGCCTCACCCATACCCCAATGTCTACTATTCTCATTACTCACACCTTACCACCTAGGCATAAGCCTATTCTCATCTATACTGTCATCGTCATCCCATTCTGTATTCCCTTGTATTCCCATCCCACTTGTATCTCCATTCGACAAAGCCCTTTCTGTATTGCTAGAAAACTTCTTTATTCTAAATTTACTTCTGTCTTCTTCCTTTCATCATCACCAAAATGAAACTTAGTTCTCTTCTGAATGATAATATAAATCAAATGTCATGTTCACTGGAGACCTGAATTTCTCCCACTCCTGATTTGATGGTTAAAAAGGAAAGGGAGAAGTGACCTTTTTTTTTCCTATTAAAGCTCAGTTCAGCTTTCCTTTCCTGTCACCCAAAACACACATACACACACATATACTTACCATATATAAGTATACACACACACACACACACACATATATATACATATATAAGTATATATATGTATATATATATTTAAGTTATAAAGACATGAAGGCTGGAAGCAAGTGATCAGTAAAAGATTTAGTTGTATTGGATTATTAGCTGAGAAGAAATCATTATGAACAGATGAGAGTGAAAAATGAGATGTTACTATGACCCAAATTGTAGGACAGGGAAAAAATTGTGTTACACAGAACAATATTTTTGTAATAAGATTTCACCTGTCTAGCTATAAATAGCCAACTCTCATTTATCTGTGTGTGTATTATCCATTTTGTTAATTCTTAACAGCAATGCAGCAATTTCTGTAGACATGCAGAAAACAAACACATCAATAATAATCTAAGTTAAGCCTAGTTATGAAGATGAATCTGCTGCTGCAACAAATGAATAATATATAAAGGGATCTGTGATCTCAATGATTCAGACATAATGTGGGTCACAACACATTCATGCCTGCCCATCCTGGGCAGCTTTTTCCATGACCTCACATAAATTCACCCCAGTGGTCCACCCAAGTAGGTTGAGTTCATCCTCAGGATAACAACCCATGAAACAAAAATGCATAGATATAAACATATCTATGCATTTAAAACTTATATATATGTATTATCTCCTGTTTTGAATTATCCATGTCCCTATTCCTTTCTATAAATATGAATAACCAAAACTTGATTATATAAGTGTGTGAATACATTTGAATACATACAGACATTCAAATACATAACATTTGCAAGTAAACTGAAGGAGGAGAAGTTATGCTGTTACCCTCCACAGTCAGAAACCCCCATGACACTGACAATTTTGAAAACTTATCTTACTTCTCCTCCTTTTTCTTTTGTTTGGGCTCCCACATCATATATTGACAGTGAACGCCACTGTCCTTCAGATTGAAAATTCTTTACTTCTGTGGCTTTGGGGATGTACGGTAAAGCAACTTGGTGTTACATTTGTTTAATCCTGTAGGTGTGAAAGTTTTTTTAAATGCAGTTGTCTTAAAAGGATATCCTCTTACAGTTCAAACTGGGCACAACGGTCTTTATTCCACTTCCTAAGGAAATGTCCAATATTTTAAAATCTAAATGAAAACAAACAAGTTTTTCCTTTTCATACAAAGGGGAGAACAACTGAAAGAGGTGCATCTGTAGTTATGATTCATGGCAGAGCAGAAGGCTTATTGAGAGCATAACTGCACATCTTGTCCTGGTCCTGGGGAAAGGCCTGGAACTACTGATGTTTTTGCACCATCCCTATCCAACTTATTGAAACAACTTAGTCCCTAACGTGTAGCGTGGGCTGGTTGCTGATTTCATAACCTTGTCCCGAGGCCCCAGTAGCAATAAGGTGTTCAGAGAGAGAGCCTCATAGTTGAACTAATCTGGTTAAGGTTTCATTGTGTCATCCTAGAAGGTAAAGACTGAGGTCATCCTAAGATGATGGGAGGAAGCATGAAGTAGGGCATAGAGCATGGAAGATCTGGGTTCAAAATGTGCCTCCAACAATTTTTTGCTGAGCGACCCTGAAAAAGTCACTGAAGCTCATAGGTTACATCATTTCATCCATAAACTGGGAATGAGTATGTACCTTGCCGAGTTGTGAGAATCAAATGAAATAATGTCAGCTACTATTCTCTTGACTGAGGTCAGGGCCTGATGTTTTCCTCAAGCACTCCAGTGGAAACCTAGCTACTTACTCTCTTTTCCCCTCTGCTTCCCAAGCCTGTTGAGCAAAGTAAGACGTTGATATAACAAGACAGCTTTTTCAGATCTTCTGCTCTTCCTCACATACTGATTGTGTGACCCTAGACAAATCACTTAACCTCTTAGTGCTCTGAGCAACTCCAAGACCATAAACTGCAGAGAAGGTGCCAACCTGCACTTATAAAGGAAGTCTCTTTATATATTATGCCAATCAAATCAGTCCAGTCAGTATTCCTTCTTCCAGCTTTTCAGTTTAAGAATTGTCCTAAACAAAGTGGCAAGGGACATGAAAGCTGTTTCTAAGTACTAGCCAGGCCACATCCTGCTTGGCCTTCCCAAGGGCAGAATCAGAAGCAATGGGTAGATTTTAGGCTTAAAATCTGAAAAAAAAAAAAGTAGCACTGTGTGATGTAGTAGATAGTGTACCTGACTTGGATCTGGCAAGGCTCGGATTCAAATAGCACCTCAGACACTCAGTTTTCTTATTTTTAAAATGAGGTAGAGGACTCAAAGCTTCTAAGACCCCTTCCAGCTTAGTCTACTGAGCCGATAATGTGGAATGGGTTACCAACAAAGCTAGGACTCCCACTAGTGTGTCCTGACTCCAAATCCAGGGTTCTTCTTGTTCCTTTGCCTCCCTGAGCCTCAGTTTTCTTCTACTTTAAATTGGGGCAATGACATCTACCTCATAAAGCTGTTTGGTGACATCTTAAGAGCATTATAGGGGTGTGAACTCATTATTGCAAACTGAACCCTGAAGAGGAAAAGTAAATCGTCAGAGGTGTTTCAGGTCTGTTGATAAAGCATGTGGGACCTGGGTTAGGGCCGACTCAAATACAGCCTCAACGGGGAATACTAACACCTCCTGGTTCCAGCCTGGCCAGTGCCTTGTAAGTGTGTGTGAGTCATTCTGAGGAGCTGTAGAACAGGTGAACGGCAAAAGGGTGGATGCAATCCCCCACATGGACGAGGCTGGGGAGCCAGCTTCTAGAAAGACATGATGATATGTAATAGCAATTTCCTGTTCCCAGTGGTATGCTGGTAAATGTTTAACAACTATCTCCTTGTATATGGGGGTAATGAGGGGTGGAGCAGGGTGGGAGGGGATGTATGCACAATAAGCTTTAAGTTTAATTTGCATTATGAATATCTTCTCCATTATTTTCTTAAGTTTAGGCAATCAACAAAAATAGTAAATCAAACTCTGATTTGTACTTTTTTCGGAGGTGCAATGCTCACACTGAAAATTTAACATCTGGCTCACTCTTGAGCTGGTTTGAACTGGCTCCAGGCACCCTAATTTGGGAGCATACACAGACATTCTGTGGCTCTTTGTTTCCAGGCTGCTAGTCATGCGCTGAGGAGTGGGACAACTGATTGGTTTTGTGGCCCGAGCCTGGGTGCATTCCAAAGGCACTAGTTAGCCACAGCTTGACCCTCGTTTGCATTGGTTCACTCTCTTTATTGCCTAGGTACTGGTTGGGTTAGAAAGACCACGATATAAGGGGCAAGGCTGCAGGTCTTTCCTCTCTGAGGTCAACCTGTGGTCTCCTTTGCCTCATGTGTTTGGGGGTTTTTCCCTGTTTTAGCAGAAGAAGATTGAAAATGGCCAAATGAGCCTTGAAAGGTCATTAGAATGGTCCACCCATCCTGGGATTTCTCAGAATCCAGATGACGAAGAAGGAAATCCTGAGTGACTTGCTTGACTTAATTAACCAGTAGCAAACATGCAGGCTGAGCTATCCAGTGGTCATGTCATTTTTGGAAGTGAACTTGGTGGACCTAATGCTATGTAGAAACCACATTAAATTGAGCCCACTCTCTCCATGGAGTGAGGTGGATTAGAGGGAAATATGCGTGGAACCCAAGTGTTAGGGAATGTTTACAACTTTGTTCTTGCAATATTTTTTGAAGTAAACAAACCTTTGTAAAAGCTAGTCAATGTTAACTGATTGAATGGAAGTGGGATTTTAATCACTGGTACTCCCAGAATCAGAGCTTGAACTGATGTCATTAGAGAAAGACTTGTGACCCCTCAGGGTTAACCCTAGAACCCTAACGGGGAAATGTAGCCATATTTGCTCAAGAAAACTAAGTCCTGAGCATTATTACACTGGGCTAGAGTATAAGGATCATAGGAACAAAGTTTTGAGGCTGGAAGG